GTACATGAGTGTCGGCTTCAGCATCTTTATCGTAGGAGCAGGTGGGGGGACGTACAAGAGTGTCCACGGGGTGGATGTGAAGTTGGCTTTTCAACGGGTTGTAGTTGATACTATGGTGACTGAATTGGGATGTATGCTACGTACGGCGATACACCTACAGCAGGCAGCAGCAGGCAGCAGGCAGCAGCAGGCAGCAGGCAGCAGGCAGCAGCACCCGTGCTACAGCAGTACCACACATCGTACTTGCCCAACCGGACGCGCAGCTTACCTCTGGGTTATTAGCAGCCGGGTTGGTGGTGGCAGAAGAACGTGTCCTCAATCCCTCATGCGAACCCTGGATGGCGGCGATGACGGGGCAGGACATAACCCTGTCTGCCCCGCAACCCCCGCTTCCGCCGCCTTGTGGTATGCCGTTCTTCCGAGCTGCGTTTCGCTTGCCCGCCATGATGGCGTCAGCCTTTTCGCGGGCCAAGTTGGACAAAACCACTTCGCTAGCCTCGCAGTAGCCTGTGTTCTCCGCGGCTTTTCTGCCCTTCCTCTTGCTGTCCAACAAGGTGGTGCGAAGCTTGATTCCTCGTTCGTGTGGGGACCACTTGTGGATAACCTCGTATCTTGTTTGGCCAGCATACATGATGCGTGTACATTCGCCAGCGGCAGTCACCGCTGGGCCCTGGCCGCGCAGCATTTTCAAGCCCGCTTCCCACCACCACTTTTTGTCTGACCAACTTTCTGAGTGGCTCTACCCCCCCTAATTCGACCAAGCGGAATCGATTGGCGACGATTCCCGTGGCGAAAAAGTTCGGCAATGCGGCGAAAAAAAAAGTTCGGGCTGAAGGGGAACTTTTTTTTTTTGGGAACTTTTTTTAAACGTCGTTTTTGGGCGTTTGAGAACGATCTGCGAAGTCATTTTTTTTTTTTTTTCTTCTCCGAGGTGGGAAAGGTGATTCGTCTTTAGCTCGGAACCCGCCCCCAGCAACTTGAACAAAAACTTGAAAAACGCCTTCGCTGTGAGCAACTCTATCCTTAAAACACCATCCATGACTGCCCCGGTGGTCTAGTTGGTATCCTCGGAACCTTCTCGAGGTCAGGTCAGGGGTTCGAGTCCCGGCGGAAGCGAGCTTCTCTTGCAAAGCGAGTTTTTCTCTCGCTTCCGCTCCTGACCTAGTGGATAGCGCTAGTTCGTGTGTACACCATCGAGGGAAGCGAGTGCTGAACTCTTCTCGCGTTAAAAATCGAAGGCAAAGTACCGCAGGAGGGGAGGGTAGCGAGGGGCTCTTCTGTGTGACCACGGGTTGGAGTAAACGGCACCAGACCACCAGTGCTGTGAGCGCTGATTTGGAGTGAAGACGAAAATGCATGGTGGAACTTAAGTCAAGACAGCGGACCTGCGGGGGGGTGTGGGGGTTTTGGGGGATTACCTTTTTTTTTCCGCGCCAAGAGCCAAGAAAACAGCAGAACAGCCGAATGAACAGCTGCACCACAGACCGCCGACAACCAGACCACCGACCAAAGACGAAAGACCACAGCACAGCAGCACAGCACAACTAGCGAAGACAGAAGGCAGACCGCGATCCACGATATTCGATCTTATCCCATGGCAACTGCCGGATCAGATGGTTGACTATAATATCGCTGCCTCTGAAGTTGACACCGGCTACGACTTGGCTCTCCGCTCCCGCTCGCTCTCCACGACTTGTGGGCATTCTGGCATGACAATACTGCTGTACCCCTACATCTCCCCACCACAAAGTCGCAAGTGGGTGCCAGATTTTTTTTTGTTGGCCTAGTCTACTCCTCGCGAAAGGGGGCGAGTGATTGCGAGGGCACGCATGTTGCTGCACGTATGGAGTACCAAGAAAAGCATCCGTATCGTGCCGCTCCTTGGGCTAGTTGAAGTGCCACCCTGCGTCGTGCGGATCGCTGCATGTGCGCTCCTGCTGTCGGCAGCAGGGGTCGAGTCCGCTGCGTGCGCCGCTGGCGTAGTACAGGCTGATGTTACTTCAGCAGCGGACGCAGAGGCTCTCGTGAGCATGTTGAGTTGTACCGGAGGAGGGGTGTTTGATGTCCAGTGGACGGGTAGCGTGCCCATCGCGGAGCCCTTCAATGTCTCTGGCGGGAGCTCGCTGACCGTCACAGGTGCTTCTTCATCTGTGCTCGATGACAACAGCAGCGGCGTTGCTGTTGTTGACGGCCAGGGCAACGATGGCATCTTCGATGTCTCCGGTGCTTCGACCTTGTCCCTCAACAACTTGATACTGGCCGGCGGGAACAGCTCGACGGACGGGGGAGCCATCCACGTTACCGGAGCCGACGTGTTCGTTACGGACTGCGGCTTTCAGAACAACAGCGCAACAGGGTATGGGGGTAAGCACGGGGTACGAGCTGGTCTTCTGCAAACAAACACGTGTTACAGCGGTGATACACACGTGAATCTGTGTGTGCTTTTTTTCCCGGATGATGACTCTCAAACAAGACGAGAGAGGCGCTACGCACAAACAAAAGAAATGAACGTAAATTTCGTCATTTCGTAATCTCAGGGGTATTGTTCAGCAAACAGACGGCTGTCCACCTTGTCTACCAATGGTCTACAGATCGCGCCATCCCCTTTATATTGCGCGAGGCTCGACGATTTTTTTAATAGTCTAGAAAGGTTGCCTGAAGCTGAATCCATGTTCTTATTCCAAGTTGTTCACTAGAGTAGGCATCTGCCCAGGATAAACCGGGTTCTTGTTCTTATTTGTACGCCGATTGCGCCATGCCGGGGGTATAGTAAGTGTATATTAAGGTATTGAGTACATGCGTCAAAAAAGTTCAAGAGTTAACCAAATGGACACTTCCCGCACCTCCTCCAGACCACTAAAACCCCTTGCTGTTCTTCCTTCGACCCAGGCGCAATTTTCGCGGAGTCCTCTGAAGTCACCATCGCTGGGAACACACGTTTCTTCGGCAATTCCGCCGGATACAGAGGAGGTGAAGCGAAGATCAATTCCAACCCCATAATGGTACATGGTCGAGATACTCCGAGATACTGGTATGGGTTTGTCTCTACAGTTGTGCTCCGTGAAGGCTGGCGAAGAATCCGGACTGCAGAGACACGATGATGGTGTCGATGTGGTGTTGCTTGATGCGCACAAGCGCTCCCTATGTGTCCGTAGTGCAGCAAATAGCTCCACCACTACCCGGTATGCCTCCACCAGGGAACTTTTAGCTTTCCCCCTAGGATTTCGCTGTGCACCTAAGGTGCGCCTTGGCTTCGAAACGGATCGCAGGGAAAAATAACGCTACAATGGCTGCTCGTGAGATGATGCTGGCTCGATACGATGTGGACCCAAAAATCAATACGGCTTTTTTGATACCCACGACACAGGTGCCGTTTACGGGAACAACTCCCGAGTCGCTATCAGCGACACCGTAGCTTTCACGTCCAACTTGGCAATCGGCGACGGAGGTACGTCTTGGTTTGCGGGGGTCCCTTACCCATGTCAGCGTCGACATTTGGCAGTCTACGCCCCTGGTTGTCAATACATGCACGCTCTGTCCTAGATAGATCTTTTTTACGATGTTTACCACTCCACGATTCCGATGCCGCTTGGGGGTCACCAACACCACCATACTCGTCGCATTCAAATCGCTGTCCCAGGGGCCATGTACACCGACAGCTCGAGCATCGCCATCCAAGACAACGTAACCTTCGACGGCAACGCAGCTGAGAACAGAGGAGGTAGGCTGCTATGAGAGGATCGAAAACGTTGGTAGACAAGCAGTGAGGCGGCACGTGAGCCAACGCGAACGACGGAAACCGTTGTTTGAGGTGCACGCGGCCCGGCCAGCTTCCGTGGCGTGCCGCCGTCGCACGGATATCTATCTCATCCGTGAGGTTATACGTGCCCGTTCTAATTGTATCTTTTTTTTTCGTGGACAAAGCTTGTGACAAGGGAATGTGGTTTCGTGGTCTGTGAAGAGCAAGAAAACGGATGTACTGGTGCCTGAGGGCATGTGGTTCCCCAACGCAGGACGAGACTGCCAAGAATATTGGTCAGGTGTTCCATGAAGTAGACCCTTTTCATATCATTTTAATGCGGTCGAGCCCTCCGGGACGGCAAGTAGCACCCGCCTTTCCGTGTTGGTAGCTTAGCGCCAAGGTAGGCGCTAAGGCGGCTGTCGAATACGAATGGCTTCTTGTGGGCCGCCGCCGCGATCTTAGGTTCGTAGTTTCACGCTCATGCATGCCACATGACGTAGACAAGTCCCACACGAGAGAAAGAGAGAGTATTAGACACGAGCACAGCAATACTTTCTCGTACTTGGGTTCTCAACATCGACCATATCGTGCCGACGCTAGACTCCACCCGTTGGCTCCGTTCCGAGGTCCCTCTCGATCGCTGCGCACGAAAACGGCGGGTGATCTACAATATTGCAGTCTAGGAGCACTGAGTATCTGTTCTACACCATTTTGCCCCCGTCTTGATCCGAGAAGGTGCTATAAGGGGGTCTTTCTCCAACTTCACAGTTGACGACGCCGTCCGATTCACCAACAACACGTCGGTGAAAAATGGAGGTACGCAATCTGTCCGAACGCCCGACCATTTCCAATTATATTTTGTGTTTGGATTCCATCAATAGTGTTGAGCAGGGCCGCGGGAGGGTCACGCGGAAACGTAACGTTTGTGGCTGTGCTGATTGACTACGCTCCCAACTCTGTGTCTCTTGGGACGGTATGCACGGCCACCGGGAATTTATTAGTGTGCAATACCCCGAACAAGCTTGGTCCAGCATTGCGTACGTAGTGTGCGCTAGACAACACAACGAACGTTCACCGAGGATTTTGTCATTCACATCGGCAGACATAAACTTCCTGTCAAGTATGAAGTTCTGTGGGTACGGATCTAGGGTGGCTCGTTTGCTGAGCCTTTCGTGCGGGAATCACAACTGATCGATCCTGTGTTAACTCAATCAAGGCTTCCGCAATGCGATCGGAACAAACTTGTAGGTGCCATTAATTCGTGGTTTTCCAAATTCACCTTCCGCGGCGACCCGGTTTTCGATAACAACGCAGCTGCTGGCGATGGAGGTGCGCGTCATGTTTGCGGTCGTTTAGATTCTTGTGTCCTAGCTTCCTCCGAGTAGTGGGACATGAGCACTTGGTGTCACCGTGGGACGGACTTGCGACTGATTCTGCAGGTGGCTTTCCACGAAATATTGGTTGTCCAACGCCGTGAGTGTTGAAAAGTAGACCACTAGTCAGCGCAGACGAGTGGTCTAGTGGTAATCGTGCTTCTTCACACATGTTAATGCCCGAGTCCGCAAGCTTTCTGTCAAGCCATGAGCACGTCCCCCAAGGATGGCCATCTCTGTGATCAGCGCTGTCTTGCCCGATCCATGTTACGGTACAATACAAGAAACTCATCGGCATATTTTGCGAAGCCCCTCAGACTTTGTGTTCTCTGATATCGGGCGCAAATTGGACCTTCGACGGATAAATGCTCAAGGGGAAACCACTTTTGTTGAGAAGCAAAATGACCACTAGGCCACTGGTTAGCAGTGGTCATCGTGGTCCTTATCTGTGAACCCCGCACGTGAAACTCACTTTGAAACGCCCACACCTTGTCTTGACAAGGACGACATCGCGAGAGTGTTCATGGAAGCACGGCGATGGAACAGCCCACCACGTTCATGCGACAAGGAGAGCTGCTGACATCATTATCGTTCTTTCGCCCGTGCGCAGGAGGTATATCAGCGTACCAGACAGACCTGACAATCTTTGACGGCCTGGCTTTCGTCAACAACTCCGCTGGCGGCTATGGAGGTATTTCGTCTGTTGCGGATGTGCATAGTCTAGAGTAGCCCTTGCAAAGGCGGAAAATGAAGGTCATCAACAGCAACCATCGCCGTGGAGAGGGGCTCGCTGCCCGATTGTGCCTGTCAGCGGCTGCCACGCCTGGGCCAAAGCAGGACGTCATGATTGGTTTCGTCTTGAGGACTGGTGTCTGTGATTAATGGATTGGGAACGGTGCCGTGCAGTTGGCCAAAGCAGATCTTGCTCAACACTGCCCGACAGGTGCATGAATAGCTTTTCCGCCGTGAGTTCCTCTTGAGAATATTATTGTCGATGAGGAATGAAATCCTAGTGGTTTGATGGATCTCGTTTTGCCACTGGCTTGACAACGTAGCCGAGCACTGGTGTTGGGTCCCGTGGCGAAGCAGCCAGCGCCGGCATGCATAGGTGCTCAGTCAAACAGCTGCAAGCAGTCGGCTTGTCGCGTTTAAGAGGCCGTGCGATCTCTTCTTTTGCAGGCACCCCCGCTCCGCCCGAATCTAGAAGCCGCATGAGAAGCGATTGTGAAGTCTGTACACGCCTCGTGTGATGCTCGCGTCCAGGCGCTTTGGATGTCGCCGTTTGCGTCATCATCATCGACGGCGACGCAGCTTTCCACGGGAACTTGGCCAAGGATGGAGGTAGGATTGGTTTGATTGGTAGACACACGATATGGTCCATAGAGATGTTGCCCTTGCGCGTGGCGTCTAAAGTCGATTATCCTTGGTCTCTTGCATTGTAGCGCAGAAACGGGCGGCGTCATGGATCGTTTGCGAGGCGTGTTGTGTTGTAGTGAGGAAATGTATCCTTGAACACCGCATGTCACCCGTGTCCTCAGAAAGGGGTTCCGCGGTACGCTCGAGCCAGAGTTTGTAGGACAACTCTGGGCAAGAGCGGGGCATACATGGTTGCCCTCGTTGAATTCTGGCATCGTTAAAGTCGTACCGCATGTGATTCATAACTTGTTCACTCTTGCTCTTGTGTCCCACTCGTTTTCAAGGTGCGATATTCTTGTACCAAGCCGTGGCACATTTACGAGGAGGGTCATTTTCGGATAATTCTGCTGTCCAGAGCGGGGGAGCGATGTCGCTTTCACAGCCCACCGAAGTCACCCTGTACGGAGTTCTGTTCGTATCGAATACGGCTGACATCGGCGGCGCCATCGCGCTGACATCCACTGGAGAAGAACCTACGCAGTTTGAGGCGTGCACATGCACGTTTGATTCCAACAGCGCCGTCGATGGGGGGGCACTGTATATGTCGACCAATGGGGGAATGGAAGTCGTCCGGAATTGCAACTTCTATGGCAACCGTGCAGGCGAGTCGATTGAACGCAAGGCATCAAGAACCGATGATGTTCAGGCGGCGCTTCAAAGAGTCGGTCTGCTATGGGTGGCAAAGGAGCGTCTACCCTGATTGAAATACCCTTACAGGCTTCGTACTACCTGTTCGTCCTAGGTGGAGAAATTCTCTGTGTGCCTGTGGATCTGAAATCAACTCCTCATCCTGGCGTGCATGCACACGATGGAACCATCTGCTGTTGTAAAACACCCACCGCCAGGTGTCTGATTTAACACGCAGCGAATATTTCACGCACGGATGTCATGCACGGCTTTTCTGCTACACCTGACCCAGACCCGTGTTTTGTTAAACAACTCGCCTCGTCTTCCAGAAATATCTGGGGGAACGATCTTTCACACCGGACATCTTGGCATGATCGAGACGGTGTTTGCGTCCAACGAAGCGGGCCAAGATGGTACCGCCGTGTTTAGCATGGGGGTGGTGCAGAAAGCCCTCAACGTAGCCTTTGCGAGTAACACGCTCAACTGCCCACCGGGCGAGAATGCGTACGACAAGGAGGTGAGCTGAATTCATGCGTTGCCTTGAGCTACGGCGACGTAAGCACTCAGGGTCAAACTGAGTAAATGTACCTGGTTGTCGCACGGAAGTCGCAAGCACTGGCCGACCCCAAAGATGGGATCGACTGTACGGTGGAACGGTGCCCGGCCACGATCTCGCCTGCGCCTGTTTGGCAGTCTGTAGTCCTGCGCACGACGCTCGCTGTAGCGACGCTTGAGAATTCAGCATTGGTCCGTTGTGATCTCCAGCACCTGTTACCTATTACATGGCACACTTGCTTCATCTCTTCAGGCCGAAGATGACTCCTGCCGTTTCGAACTAGCGTGCGCGCGATGCTCGGCGGATTGCGACGCCATCCCATCCAGCGTGACCATGGCCGACAGCACCATCCCTGTCTGCGTAGAGTCGATGGAAGGCACGAAGGCATCATCAAGCGGCACTACTGTCGCCACCCTCGACCTGCAGGAGGGATACTACCGCACCTCCGCGGAGAGCCAAGTCGTGGTGGAGTGCTACTTGACAAGTGCCTGCGCGGGTGGTACCGATCCCAAAAATTATTGTGCAGATGGCTACGAAGGTCCCTGTGAGTGCCGTTTCCGCTCACGTCTCCCTTGTCCGTGATGCGTGCAAGAGCCAGGAAAAGCCCAAATTGCGGAAGTTGGGAATGTTTGCAGTCCCTCCAACATCCGCGTCAGCCTCATGTAGCATCTCCGGCCCACTTCACGTTTCGACTGCGCAGACTGCTCGGTGTGTGCAGACGGCTACGCGCCAGGCACGGCGTACCAGTGTCACGAATGCTCGGGAACAAGCATGGGGTCAGCCGTGGGGGTTGCAGCGGCGGTGGTGGCGGTGGTTCTGCTCATGGTTGCAGTGGTTGCTGCGGACCTCGTACGAGTTGTGGATGGCGACGATAGCATCAAAGACGCCCGCACTCTGAAGGGGCGACTTTCGCGTTTCCATGCGTTTGTTGTGACCGCCTTCCCGCTGACAACCGTGAAGATAGTCGTGGTGGCCTGGCAGATAATCACACAGGTGCGGTGCTGATTGTCTCACAAACCAAGCGGGTTGATTAACGCTTCTCGGTCTTTGTGCAGGGGAATGGAACCTATTGCGCTTTCCTCGGACGTGCAGCAATCTTTTTTCTCCAGATCTTGGTATCTATTGTTTATGGTTATTGACCACCTAGCAGCAGCAGTTGGAACATGTGGCAGCACGCTCAACACTTGGATCGTTTTTTCCTCCGCCCCTACCCACTCTCGCCCTTGATCCGTCCGCAACCTGTTCCGCCACAATTCTGGCAGTTCGGCGCAATCGCTGGCTTCGTGTACCCGGAGGAGTACCAGGACTTTCTCAACGCCCTGACGCCTGTGAATCTGGACATCGGCTTCATCCTGTCGTACTCGTGCGTCGTGATCACCGATTTTTTTGACCGGTTGCTGATCGCCACGATCGGGCCAGTCGTGGTGCTCGCGCTGCTGGCCTTGACATTCGTCGTCGGGAGGAAAAGGAACATCGATTCCGAGGCCGCCGTTCGCGCGGTCAAGAACAAGCACCTCTCCGCGGCGCTGTTCGTGATGTTCTTCATCTACTCCTCGGTCTCGTTCACGGTGTTTCAGACGTTTGTCTGCGACACCCTCGACGACGGGGTCTCGTACCTGCGAGCTGACTACAGCTTGACCTGCGACACGCCAAGGTACGGCGCTTTTCGCGGGTACGCGGCCGTCATGGTATGCGTCTACCCTATCGGCATCCCGGCAACATTTGCCTGGTTGCTGGGGAGCAACCGGCAGGACCTGCAGAAGGCGGACCGGGACAGACTGGCGAATCTTCAGCCGCTCGGCGATCTCTGGGAGGCGTACAAGCCGTCAAGGTACTACTACGAAATCATCGAGTACGTTCGCCGCATCGTGCTCACTGGGGTCGCAGTTTTCGTTCTCCCTGGCAGCTCGGCGCAAATGGCCGTCGTGCTCCTGCTGGCCGTCGTGTTTTTGTTCATCTCCGAGTCGCTGTCCCCCTTCACAAAAAAGATCGACATGGCTCTGTACCGCTGGGGGAACGGCGTTGTCTTGGCCAGCATATACGTCGCTCTCCTGCTCAAAGTGAACGTGTCCGAAGAGGGAAGCGAGACTCTCTCAGCCTTCGTCGTCGTTCTCATACTGGCGAACGTCTGCATGGCCATTACCCTGGTGGTGCAGTCCTTCTTGCTGGTAAGAGAGTGGCGGTCGTCCACGGTGTCAGCGCGGTAGCCGGTTGACCATCGAAACAAATCATCTGGATGGCTGGAAGAGGCCGAAGAGGGTGGCGAGAAAGCAGGAACTGGCGGGGAGTAGGAGGGCGGATGCTTCAAATCGATCCTGTCCAGCAAGCAAGACGCTGCGGGATAAAACGCATCTGCGCGCGATGGTGTACCCAGCGCATTGCTTGTATAGCGCCGGCGCTGCTGGCCTTGTGCGGAGATAGGGGTCAAGACTTGAGTGTTTCTCGCACTCTACATTCGTTTGAGTGTAAATCTGTATGGCCGCGTGAACTCACACACACGCGTCGAAGCGTGGGACACGTCCAGCTTCGATCTTGTCGCATGACATTTACAGTACAGTACCGACAACCGGGTCAACGCGTGCGGTTATGTAATGTTGTTCTGTTGGTGATGATTTTGAAGTTTCTGTTGATGTTGCAGTAGGTTCAGGCGTTAACGAGCCTTGACTTCATGCGAGGCGCACGTCTCACGGGTGGCACTAGGCTCTGGCGGGGATGAATCCAACGTTTCAAATGTAAGGTCCAAGAAGAAGATGCATCAGCGAACTGCTACCCGCCATGGCAAGGAACCAGCCATTCAACTCCTCACAACTCGGGCAAAGTCACGCTTCGCCTCGAACGAAACGTTCTTGAACCGAGGATTTCGGCCCGGGGCAAAATCGCAGCCATCGGCTAAATATATATGTTTCCCGACTGGTGTGTCAACATGCACAGAAAACATATATGGCTGTCGCCCAGAATGGATAAAACGCACGGCAGAAAATTACGCGAAAACAAATACGGGCATGGTGAAGCTAGCTAGAGTAACAAGGCCATGGCGCAACGAGAAATCGGAAAGAAGAGAGGAAACTCACCAAAGAATTAAGAATTCCAAAAAATAGTGTACCGCAGCAAGGATGCTCATGTAGTACATGGTAAGTGTGTACTACACGTTCAAGTTATTTCAATAGAACTCGGTTTGTTTGTACACTCTTGCGTTTGTCTATGCCCTCTATTGTTATCTTTTAAAAATGGCGTTTGTTATTCTTCCTCTGGACCCCGAAGGAAAATGAGAGAAATATGACAACCGGGTCGACGCGTGCGCGTCAAAATTCGAAATATCAACCTGGCAACGAGCACGTTTCCCACAGCCACTCTTTTTGCGCCCTGTCTATCGTTCGTCTTCCTCTCTTCCCCATGCAAGATATGGGGGGTCACAGATTTTTTGGCAAAATTAATTTCCTGCAGTAAGCTTGTGCGTGCACCCGTTCGTTGTGGAGCTCTGGGGGGCGACGGTAATTCATACAGGGGGGTGATCTTCAGTTTGAAAAAATACTCGCCCTCTTGCCGCTGCTGCTGCTCGGAAGCCATTCGTTTGCTTTGAGGCAACTGAACAGCACGTGATAGGCGACGAGACTAGCAGGGAAGACACAGGTCGCACACTAGACATGCCCTCACACAAAAGTGTGGAGAAGTGCACAGCGGTGTATGCATCGCTGAACGTGCGCATTGTTGGTGTGCGTGACGCCTCTCTCTCTCCAAGGTGGCTGCCGAGCGAGATGAAAAACCGCTCTTGAAACAAAACAATCAGCGGTGCACCGAGACCAAACCAAACGGTTTAATCTCTCCTCTCGCTTCCTCCGCCGATGGCTCACAGCAGTAGTAGCGTAAGGGCACACCCTGATCCCGTCTTGCCCTCTGTGGTGTGTGTCTCCCTTCCCCCTTGTCCACGTCTTCTGGCTCTGTGTGGTGTCTTGCGTGAGCCCACGTCTGGTTCCAAAAAGAACTGACGCCCCCTTTCATTGCGAGGGGTTTGATACTTCCCGGCTTCAAGTTCGGTGCGGTGCTATCTCGAGGCACGCAGCACGGACGGGTTGAAAGGCAATAGTTGGGGCAGCTCGCGTAATATAATACTTGGTGGACATAAGCGTAGGCTTGTAGTTTGGTGCCTCGATGGGGAAATGGGCTCCAGTGTGATAGGTTTTTGTCATCACAGACAGACAGACAGACAGACAGGAGACAGACATCCATGGTCCATTCTTTCACGTGAAAAACTGCACGCATAGTCTACAAAGTACAATGTGATACGATCCCTCTCAACTATTTCTTTGTAGAACAAAAAGCACCCCTCCCTATGGACCGCTCTGAAAAGAACAGCCAATGTCTCTCTCTCTTGTCTCCAAACGGCAATCAACCGAGGGTTCTCTTTCCTCCGGTGAAGGGAAATCAGTCAGAATCTTACACGGGATGACCAAGTCCCTACGATGGTACCCTACCATTATCTTCCCTAACTTCGAGGTGATGACACTTCTCATTCATGCAGTGGGATAGTTTTAGTTTACGACTACCCCCCACACCGTGCGCTCTTCCGGTTGTCTCCCGACTCCCTTGTTTCGCAGCGAACTGTTTGTATGGAACTCGATTTGTTTAATATCTGTCTACAACAGTACGCCTTAGTCTAAACAACACTGCCCATTGATTGGTCCACCGCGCGGCCGATGTTGTATGTAGTTTACTGTAAGACACACAAGCTGGAGTTTTTTCGTTTCGCTGGTGAGCCCGCGAGCGCTATTACCGACGCTATTGGAAGAAGCGCAGAAATTGAAACGGCGGCGGATGCTCTATCGGAATGCCTGTGATTCGGCCGGAGTTGTCAATCGTTGTCGAGCACACACCTGATTTTCTGCTTGACACGGAATTGACGGGAAAGCGCACGATAAGTGCCAACCATGTGCGCATCATGCACACGCCGCAGGCTTAACGCACACGAGGCTTGTCGCCTACTATACATACATTCAGAAGCACGCACAACAACATATTCGCCTGATTGAGAGCGAAGTATCTGATTGAGAGCGAGAGCCAAAAAAATTGAAATTTCGGGTCCAGACGCCTCTTGCCATTTCTTGGCAAGTAGGGGACGGGCTATTCCAAGAAGCGGTGCAAATTGAAGGTCTCATCAGCAGCTTCGCGAGCATATGCGTGTCATCGTCATCGGATGCTGCAGCGAG